CACCACATGAAGGTTGGTGCTGATCTCTCAGATAACTGTATGGCTCTTATTAAATATATTTCTGAATGGAAGGTGCTGCTTCTACAAGACTGTTTTGAAAGAACAGCTTGAATTCAGAGAAATTGAAGGGTTGGACGCGTCTGGCTTAAGGCTCTGGATTGAGAATGAGACTAGAAGTCTTTTACTAGGACATATTTTTCCTTATTTGCGATGGCTGTCTTCAATTCAGATGTAAATTACGTCCGAGTTTATTCAACTAAAGCAGATCTAATTGCATGTATTTCTATAAAGTAAACCTACTTTTGTTTGTTACTACAGTTGAACATATTATCCGCATGACTCATAGATATTTCAATACATAGAAGGGATTCACTGTATTTGTGTTTCACTCTGAAAATATAGTTTTTTAAACAGATCTGGTCCTTTACCAGGTGTGCCTTTAAGTAATTCCCAGTGCATTTGTACTTCAGAGGGATTAGGAAAGAGAGTAAAAGGACCTTTTGTCTGCTAGATTCATTCAATGTATTCATGCGTGTGTAAGGGGTATAGAGGCTGTGCTGCTCAAGAATCAGATCCTTGTCCCAGGGTGTAGAGAAAGGTGAAGGGTGTGATATTTACTGCTTGTATAAGTGTCATAATAATTGTGTATTTGATTCTTTATTTTTAAATGACCTTCCTGGGCATTAAGCCATCTTTTTTTTGTCTTTATCTTTTCCCTGCAGAGGGAGGGTAAGGAGCCACACCTTTGAAATGGTGAAAGTACAGCTGCTCAGAGCATGCATGTACAGCAGAACCGACAGGGCAAGGCTGAGGATAGAAATAGCAATACAAACATCTTAGAAGGAAAAAGGTTTTGCTACAAAATTGCTTTAAAATGTAGTTTTAAGTAGTATTAAGTTTCATCTTAATTGGTCATTAGGGGTTTTTCCCAGTTGTTCACAATGAAGTGCAAATAGCTACTGCATTCTTGCAGGAGAAATGTAGAAGTTAACACTACCATCCTTTGTTTTTGCTCAGCCTTAAGTGATTCAAACAACAAAGTGCTACAAAAGTGCTTGAAACCAACTGCCTATTGCTAAATGGAATTAATTACCATAGAATTAATTAAAACAGTACCTCGTGAAATAATACACTTCCTATGCACCAAATCAGCAGATAATATAAGGAAGTTCCTTAAGGGAACAGCAGATAAAAGTCTTAGCTCCTGAGCACCAAAACTTGAGGCAAACCTGTGGCCATAGCTGGAGGATTACCTCTGTTTTGCCAGCTGAAATGTATTTCAACAAAACGGAAACATTTCACAGCCCAGTGTCGGGAACTTGCACTGATGGAAATAAGGAAAATGCGGCTACCAGTTTGCTCCCTCCCTGGTCGCATTGCTGGGAAGAGTCTTCCCTGGAGAGAGGCTGTTGATGTTTGCAGGGAAAGCTGTTTGTCCCAAGACCAGAGCTCCCAAGATGTCGTCTGTGTTGGTTTAGGGAGAGCCCTCAATGCACTTGCCAGTTCAGCTGCAGAATTCTGAGAATCAAAGCTTCGCACCATGGCTGTGATTTAAGATATGTGCTCTGAACACCTGAACGCTGTGTCCTCTGTCTGTCACCTCCTTCACTATGTGCACATGGAAGAGTTTACAGATCCTCTTTAAGGGGTTTTATTTAATGTTTCGTTATAAGATAAAGCGCTTAGCTTAGCAAAACCACAAGACATATTTTAAAAATCCATTTACCGATCTGCTGCTATCACCCTGTGACATGTGAGTGGACACTTGGAATGCGTGCGGGTGGCTGGTGGGAAGCCAGATATTGTAGACCTGAAAATACAGACACACACGAGGCTTTAGGCATTTGTTTAGGCCTTTAACAAGTGTTGAATGTTTAATTTGGTGAATTTTCCAACCATAACTAAGTAAGCATGGATTTAATGACATGGGTACCTCAATAATCTCACAGAGTTCAGC